TAATAAGAGTAAAGTAAGGTCAAGCATAATACCTTCCCAAAGCCCCTTGTAAGTGAGAAACAAACCACTTTTTCCCAAAATTTTCAGCACCCTTAGTCTTCCAAGCACCAAAAGGAAAGGTTAATCGGTTTAGTTTCGTCGATTCCGCTCAAACAAGCTTGATTGAAGGTGGAAGTTGCTAGTTTCCCTCTTGTTTGTTTTTCTCTCTTGAAGCTTGGCCACAAGAAGTTTCTATCATCTACAGAAACCCTAACCAGACGTGCACGAGACTAATTCATGACAACACTCACTAATCCACTTTTCTTAATAAGTTCAATCTCAAGTCCATTACTAGAACCTTTCACATCTTGAATTTTACTATCCAATTTTATCTTAAATTCAATCGAGATATCGACCCTTATTCTAGTATTTTCCATTTTTGGTACTCAGATACAAGAATCCGAAACTAGGAGAATTCACATCTCTGGCCGTACGCTCCCAAGTGCAAATCTTCTAAGTTTAACATTTCTACCTAACATACATATTTATTTACCTCAAGTATCTTGATAAAGGTTTTACGTCTATTAATTTCAAAATTCACAACTTATGCTCATGAAGAGCACTTAGTCCTTTGTACTTATTCATATAATTGGGACCATATCACCACTTGGTCCAATCTCACCTCGCACAGAGACCACGCGAAATAGCTCTGATACCATCTGTGACGACCCCACCTCACCCTAGGGCGTACTCTAGGGTTTAGCGAACCGTCTGCACAACTGTCGCCAAGACTCATTCATTTACTAAAAAAAAAATAACTTACAACAATAGAAAGGAAATAAAATAACAATTTCTAAGCTTAAAATATACATCAATACTTAAATCCAACTCCAAGGTTCATACATGCCCGATACACAAAATATTCCAAAATCCAAATACATCCAACCCTAGTCAAACACTACCGCGAGTACAATCGCAAAAATTCAAAAACTACCAGACTTTGCTAGCCTTTACCAATCCCCACGCCCTTGCTCGTATCCCCTGTAAAGAAAACAAATCTCATAGAATGAGTTAAATCTCAGTGAGGCTCCAAAACTTCATGCAGACGCAAATAGCAAGTTGACCAAGATTTAAAATCAGATGTATTAAAATAGCAAGCTCATGAAGTCAAGAAATTGAGTAATAACGCTTTGTAAAATTAATCACTGGATATTTAACATGTCACGTAAAAAGATACAGTCACTATTTCAAAATAGTTCAGCTATAACTTGATCAAGTAGTAGTTGACACTCTGTCAACTTTCAAGTAGAGTAACCCGTCCAGTAGAGCCCCGCTTGACGCCAACTCGCCCACCATTCAACTCCCTTACCGGGCCCGAACATTCAGATAAACACGTGTGGTAATACTCGAGCATACCAATTAGTTGAGGAGGTATCACTCCACTCGACAAAACAAGAGACCCAGGGTTTGTTATCTAATCGACCAGACCCTTGCCGACTCGACTCGATTAACTAGTTTCAGGGTTTCTGGAATTTCAAAGTGTTCACGCATATACAAATATATCAAATCATGTGCACTCAAGGTACAGCAACAAATCATGTTTAGGACAAGTGCGATAAAGTACACCCTTGTCTGTTTAAACAAGTCAAATGTTGTTCAAGCATATTGGTAAAACATGTAACACAAGTATCAAGTACAAACATGCACTTGGAAGCACTCACCAAATGTCTAGTGCTTTTCAATGTCACGTTCAGGTGCAACTCCTTGGATGGAGTCCGAATCTACGATAAAATATTATTCAAAAGTTTAAAATCAACTGAGATTTGAAACATAGGAGTTTCGTTTCAAGAAAATCAAGTAAATGAAACTCGTTTAAATTGTATTCGAGTTGCTTATTAAACTCTAGAAAATTCATGCTCGCCCGTTTAGTTTCGATAAAGAAGTGATTTAGACTTTTGAAGTCTCACTTGGTATAAAAGATCGAGAAAATCATATTTATTTGGGTCGCCACTTTCACTTTTTAAAGGGTACGAGTTTCGGTAAAATATCAGCTTATATACCTTGACTAAAGGAAATTCGACTACCATAGATGATCCAAGTCCAATTCGACCTCAAAACTCTGCTCAAGTCGCGAGTACCTAAGACTAACCGTCAAGGGAAAATTTGGGCGGTATGCCCTTTGTATTTAGCTATTTTCTAGCCATTTATGGCTTCATTATTTTTCTCAATTCAGCCCCAAAGTCACACATAAGCAATGTTAACACAATAGCACTTGAACTAGGCTCAATGTCCTCCAATTACAAGATAAGTGTAGCAATACAACTATCAAACTCAAAGATAAAACTAGTATTAAAGAGAAATAACTAAGTATCAGGTTTGTCATCTTCCGGCATTTTGGTCACAACTGAAGCTACGCTTATCAGATTGGGGTAAACTTTATGCCGTTTCGAAACTAAGACAGAGAACTACATTTCCTATGAAGGCATCAACATCTAGTTCATGCATTTTCAGGGTCAAAATGTGCAATTTCAGAGAAAACAGAACACTGCCTGCGCAGTAGGGCATTTGGCAGTCAGGATATTTTAGTCATTTCATATGCTACAGTGCTCCCGATTGAGCTGAAATTTTACAGGCAGATTTTTAACTCCATTCCCTACAATTTTCATGTTTTGACCTAGACCTGATTCGGCCTCTATCATGGATGAACATGTAGGTCAGAAACATGACAAATTCTACTACAATTGCTGGAATTTGATGATTAAATACTTAAAATAACATTCATGGCTTCAATAACCACCCCCAAGTCCCTATCCAAGCTCATCAATATCATATACTAGATAAACAACCATAATCAAGGCTGAAAATTGCAAACCCTAACTAAACATTCCACTATATCATCACAACTAGGAATTCAACCATCAAAATCCAAGATTAAGAACTTCTATCCCCAACTTTAGCAAAATTAACAAGAGTAAAGTAAGGTCAAGCATGATACCTTCCCAAAGCCCCTTGTAAGTGAGAAACAAACCACTTTCTCCCCAAATTTTCAGCACCCCTAGTCTTCCAAGCACCAAAAGGAAAGGCTAATCGGTTTAGTTTCATCGATTCCGCTCAAATAAGCTTGATTGAAGGTGGAAGTTGCTAGTTTCTCTCTTGTTTGTTTTTCTCTCTTGAAGCTCGGCCACAAGAAGAAAATGGAGCAGAATGGAAGCCAAGAGAGAGATAAGAAGAAAGAAAATTGGTTTAGTCAAAGTTGGGTAGATTTTTGCCAAGTGTCATTGTAGGATTAAAGCTCAATTTTTTTCTTTTTCCTCTTTTCTTTGGTTAAAGATTGTGGCTGGTTTAAGGGATATTTTAGGGTTAATTAGCTGAAATAAAAGCAAGGATATTAAGGTAGTAAAGTAGCGTTCAAGTGGTGCACTCAATCGGTAGCAAACGGTGCACGTCGGTTCGAGCCGCTTTTCCCTAACTTGCGCATACTAGTGGTTTCATTTAGGATTCACTCACTTATTATTATCACTTCTAATCACACACTTTTTCTTATATAAAACTCACTCTTAACCACCAAAAATTTAGTATACACACCTCACCAAGTGATCACATGGTCAAAATACGCGAAAACCCTAATTTACCCGAACTCTAAAACTAAGGGTAACACTCTTAAATCTCTTATTCATTACAACTATTGAGGGAGTAAATGAGTAGTACAACTATCATAAGTAATTGAGTCGAAATAAAAGGGAATTTTAAGAAAATATGAGGGATTTATAAGAAAATATGAGCAAATTATCGAGTCGTCACACTCTCTTCTTCTTACACAAAATCCGGGGTGTCGCATGACTTGCTCCAAGTGTCACCAAAAAGGCCACACTAAAAAAAGATGTAACTGAACAATCAAGGAGATGATAGCGGTCAAAGAAGACCACTTACAGGTGCGAAAAATGTAAGGTGCTTGGTCACAATGCCAGAACCTGTCCAGTGGTTGCTAGAGAAAGTGAAAATGCTCAGGAAGTTTCTGGTATGGTTTTAACTCACTTCTTTAGGATTGCACATTACTTGTTACCTCATCTACTACTAACCTTGGATGTTTTTGTAGATCCTACTATGATTGGAAACACTAGCATACCACAAGAAAATGAGATAGTGCAAGAATCTGTCAAATGTATGTTTAGATTGCTTATTTTGTAATCTTAGTGCAATAACGCCTATTTCTTTCTTTTCTCATATTAGTACTAATGTTCTTGTTGTTTATTTGGTTATTGAACGAAATGCAAGTTGCTGAAGTGTCTGAACCTTTCAAACCTAAGGCTAAAAGCAAGTCTAAGCGAATCGGAAAGAGGTATGTCCGGCATTGGTTTAAAAATTAAAAGGAATGTCTGAATTTGACTTGTGTTTGAAAATTTTTTGAAAGAAACTAATAGAGTTTGACTTGAAATTTCAGATGTATATTAATGAAAAGTTTGGCTTGGCTTGTTAAAGTATCGGGTTCAAGCACATATCATTAAAGCTTGGCTTGGCTTGAAATTTTAATTTTATATAGAGATTTTCACCCTAATTTGTTACTTTTTCCCTTTTTGTTCTCTAATATCCAAGAAATCCATTATGATGAATTAGGGATGTGATTAAAATCAATTATATTTATTCAAGAGACAAGACTATTAAATGCTTGCTTTTTTAGAAGATAAACAATACAGTGGAAGGAAATGAACGGAGTTAAAGAAGAAAAATATAGGTATATTTTTATAAAATTTACTTGCCTGTTCCTAAACATGTCAAGTTGGACAACATAAAAATCATGATTGGGTCATTAATATTTTCGAATTTGAAATAATGTTCAGATTTATATTGATACCTAAACAAACAAAGCTTGAACGAGCTTGATTCAGGACGAATTCAAGTTGAATACCATGCTGCTTGGTTCGATGTACAACCCTACTCAAACCTGTTTCTCCTACTTTTGTCCAATTTTTGTATGGGTCATTAGTTGTGGAATTCTTCCAATTCAGTCAACAATGACGAAATACATTGAAATTGTCACCAAAAACTTTCTTAACTAAACTTCGAACTCATAACTATTACAAATACTGAACAATCCAAATCCAAAACTTATCATTACCTAGATGAAAGGTCAGGAATTACTTCATTTTAAAAGTATGGCATTACAACTTCCAGAACATATGAACCGCAAAGTTTTATACAGTGTCCAAAACAAGTGCAACATCTTCAATTCTAGCAAACCTTGCTTTGCTTACCTCCAAGTATAACAAGAACCAAAATGCAGCAACAGACACAAGCCAAAAACAATATTTTCACTTTAGCCTTCAACTTGTTGATTTCAATCTTCAATTATGCATTTTCTCTCTCAACACTTCTCAAGTCTCTCAAAATTGCGTCCATTATAATCTTCATTTTTTGGGGTATGGGTAGATCATACCACAAAAAACATTTATGGGCACCATGTTTCTGCATTCACTACCATTTCATAGTCACAATTCAACCAATATTTCAACAAATCCTAAACTTAGCACACACAAAAAATTACCCCATAATTTCTGCATCCATGAAACCTTCTTGATGGGCTTGCCTCCATACATGCAATCACAATTCCACATTGTTCAAAACAGTGGCATCACACAATTTTGTCTCCGTTGTAGTATTCCTCATTTCCTTCATTAATCAAGCTTCCTCTTTTTGAACCATTTGAGCCAACGACGACGATGTTTAAAACTCAATCGCTAGTTGAGCTTGAGCCTGCTTTGTCCCAACTCCTCAGATGCATTTAATTGCAGTCATTTTTGTACAGAGGTTTGAAAAATTGGGCAGATCTCCCTTTTTTGGGTGGAATTAGGTTTTTTCATTGATTTACTTCTTTTTGTTACCACCCCAAAACTGAAGTCCCCAAAATACCCTTCTTGGTTGCTCGATTAAGAGCCCTATCAAATTTATGCAATAGTGCCACCATTGAGATCCTTGATTGGAACTGCAATATAAGTTTGGGGATTAAATAGGCTAAAAATAATAGTAGGGACAAAATCAATGGAATAAAAAAGTTAAAGAGACTAAATTGGCCATTTTCCGAAAAAGTAATTGTGGTATAAACAGGCCTGCTGAGCATTATACAAGCAAACAAGTTAGTATTTTTCTCCGTCAGCAAAATAGAAAATTGAAATAAGGACTTAAATAAACTAGATCCATACAGCATTAGGAAAAAACCAAGACGGCAGGAGTTTTAGCGACGTGAGTGAGGCATCACTTTAGAATATGTGGACAAATTCATGCTATCACTAACAAATTCCATGCATACCTATGTTCCATCAATCATTTCTAAACAAGAGAAATATTATATAATTCGTACAGATTTGCTGTTCTCATGAACATTGTTTAATTTCCCGTATCGGTACAAGTTACTGATCAACAGTTCAAGATCAAAGACATTGCACAGCAAAATTGGTCATAAAACATAAATGAATTCCAAGAAGTAACAAACTAACAATTGGAGCATGGAAGTTCGTTTCCCAATGAAGACATCAAAAACTTGGCAAGCAAAATTACTTGAGAATAACATCAGTGTCGATAAGATTCCTTTTATCCTTTTTAACTTTAAGATCTTATACTCAACTAACATACAAGCATTTAAATGACAGTTATTAAGGGAATCAGAACCAAAAAAGTGGGATACTTTATAATGCTAACTTTGGTCACTTTGAGATATCGTTGAACCTTTATCCTGGCTGCAGGGCCTGTAACGCAATGTGGATGACCATCAGTATCACCATTTGCTCTCAGATATATCACGTCCTTTTCTTCAGAAGATAGTTTGTACACAACCAACCTTGTGTCATACAGCATAAGACAATCGCACCCCCAGCTCCACAACAGATTAGCCCTGCCTTTCATTTGCTGTTTTCAAATTCTATAAAACCTGCATCTCATATACCAGAAAACAGTTAATAAAAAATGAGCACCCATATTCCATAGGCAGTAAAATTAACGTGTCAAGCAGTAAAATGAGGGGAAAAAATCCCACTAAATCTCTCGATTCATAAGACTCAAAGAGCATTCTCTTGCAGATTAATATGATGGCATGTGAAAATAATCCAGCTTAGCAGTAACTACAAGCAACTAATAAACCATAGCTTTAGTTCCTAACCATACTTTGTTCATAAGCTCATGTCATAGACATACCTTCCTCTGAAAACATGATCTAATCACCCAAGACTTATGTGTAAGAACAAGTGACTAAAAATGCAATATAAATCACACAGACAGCAAAAAATTAAAAAAAAAAAAAAAAAATCAAACTAGTACACACACCACAAAAAAAAAAAGGCTTCTTCTAAATTTAATCAGGAAAATGCAGCAAAGTGAGAAAATAAATAGCATCCAAAACAGCTTTGCAAAATATATAAACCTGTAAAGACAACAAGAACCAGATATGAAGGATCAGCAATAAGGTTTGATCGTTGCAGGAAAATCAATAGCAGCTCAACAGAATGTAAGCATCAAGGTAAAAGCACATAATGTAGGGCAAAGTCTACATTATTTTCAATTCTAGAATGCAACCCACGCCTTTTAGTACACCAATATTACTTCAAGCAATGGCTTAATATTGCTTTCAAAGAGGTTGCGAATGTTACATTGCAACAACTTGTACAAAACAGGGGCCCTCTTCTCTCTTCTCTCCCCCCAACTTTTACCATCATTGCTGCCAGTTCATCCTGCTCATACCTTTTACTTGTGTCATTGCTTCCCACATCATTACAGAGGAGTACTGTATATTAAAGAAAAAGGAGATAAAAGTCAAACCGAAGAGGATCTAATGCAATTTGTTTATTTATCATGGAAAAAACTTAATTGTGTATATATTGCATTCAAAGTTCTGCATCCTTGTTCTTACCAAAAGCTCATGCTCTTTGGTCTAAATAGCTCATGCTTTTCCAGAGGGGTTTTAGCTCCCCTCCAGTGGAGAATAGCGAGCTCTACTTCACCCGTCTTATATGTAGAGGCCACTTAATTGTCTACTCCACCTTGGCCTCTTAGCTTGAGTGAAACGACACTTGACAGGCTCTGTTTCATGTACTCTGTAGTTGTATGACTCCACTAGTGTTGGTTCTAGTGTTCAGAAATTACTTACAAATCAAAAGCTAAAGGAAAAAAAAATTGTAGTGCAACAAAATGCAGATATGATATGGTATACACAGAAGAATAGCAACGTTAAGTATTAATTACTCACCCTCTTTTTACTCCCTCAAAGCTAAAGATTGACTGAAAACTGATTGCACAAATATAAGTAATTATAACAAGCATTCATATGTAACCACAACTATCCATGGGACCTCAAAGTTCAAATCGAAAGCAAGACAATGGTCTAAAAAGTTTTTACACTTGTAAATTGGCTGCTTGGTTCCATTTAGAAATTGAAATGAAAGTAATAATTTTATCCTACTTACAAGAAAACCCTCCAAATTATAAAAGTCTGAAACTTTTCTGTAATTTCAAAATCACAAACTATATTTTCAGATGTAGTTTCATTTCATGTTTCCAATAAATTCAAACATTACATTCAAGCCAAAGTACCAAAACCCATTGAAAAAGAAGAAAAAGGCCTGCACAAGTTACCTCTAAAGTGATATGCCACATGGAGGTTCTCCATGAAAGGATAAACAAGAAGTCTCTCAGAAGAAGTGTTAGCAATCCAATTAACAGCAGCAGATTTCTGTAAACTGCAACACTTATCAATTGGACTTTCCGAGGGACTTTGGCTTCTTCACCAGGACTCAAGATCTTTGAGAGATTCCACAAAATATGACCAACATAGCTCCTCCAAAGCCCAGTTCAAAAGTGAACTCAAATAATGTTAGTTCTAGCAAATTAAAGTTTAGGGGCCAAACATTAGCAGGATCAAAAAGTTGCAACTAATGTGAAGGTCCTCTATATCCTGCATCCCCGAACTTCATGCTATCTGGATCAATCTTCAGCATCGACATAAGTAGAGAAGGATTGTTCTGTTTTCCAGCAGATGAATCAAGCAAAATGGAAAAAGTAGTTGAATCCATCAAGAAACCTTTACGAACCATTTCTTCGTGATAGACTATTGCGTCATCATAATGGCCCCCTTTAAGGAGTTCCTGCAGAATTACATTGTACATAACACTATCTGCCTGGCAACCACTCTCTTCCATTTTCTCAAAAAGCTCTTTAGCTTCAGAGATGAAACCTTCTAAAAGTAGGCCAGCAATCATTATGGTGTATGTTTTGACATCAGGGTCCAATCCTTTGAGGGAGAGCTTATTGAAAAGACCTCGAGCACTAACGAGCCTACTGCTTTTGCACAACCCATCAAGGATAATATTGTACATTTTTATACAAATATCTATTCCATCAGCTTCCATTGCGTGGAATAATTGTAATGCTTCATCGACATGTCCAGTCTTGCACAATCCATCCAACACCACACAGTAAGTGTAAAAATCAGGCTTCATGCCAGCAGCTTGCATCTCATCAAAAATTTTTTGTGCAATAGGATACCTTCCTGCACTAAATAACCCTTGCAGGACAGTGCTATAAACAACGATATTAGGAGTTAAACCTTTATGTCGAATCTCATGGAAGAGATTCATGGCTGCTTCCACTTCCTTGTTCTTGAAATAGGCATTTATTAGAATAGCATAGCTATGGAGATTCGGAGTAAGGCTGCCAGCAACCATCATATCAAAAACTCTCCTTGCTTCATCTATTCGGTGCTGTAAACAGTACCCATCCATTAAGGAATTGTATGTGACGAGGTCGGGATTCTGACCTTGCTGAATCATGATACGCACCACCTCTTCAGCATCTTCTGCATATCCTTCCTTGCACAGAGCATCCACCACTATACTAAAAGTAAAAACATCTGGAACAATTTTATAATCCTTCATCTCAGAGAAAAGCTCTTTAACCTCCTTCCATTTGCTTAAATTGCACAAACCCTGAATCAAAGAACTGTAAGTGACAACATTTGGGGGTATGCTCTTTTCAATCATCTCCTGGAAGAGGGCAAGAGCTTCATCGACCATTTTATCCTTGCACAAGGTGTCAATGATAGCGTTGTACATAACTGTATTAGGTTTACAAAATCTTCCTTGTTTTTCCAATGCTCTGAGCAAGTCAATGGCTGTTCGAGTGTTTCCCTCTTCACAAAGTCCATGTATCACAATCCCAAATGTAACTTCATCGGGCTCACAAAGCTTTTCATATATTATCTTTTTGAACAATTCTTGTGCCTGGGGAACCCTATGTTTTTGAAAGAGTCCTTTGAGTAGAGTATTGAATGTGAATACATTGGGCATAATGCCACGCTTAAAGAAGCCAGCCAACACAGTAAACCCCAAATCCACTCGGCCCACGAGGCAGTAACAATTAATCACTATAGTAAGGGTGTACTCATCAACAGGAATGCCCTTGACACACATATCTCTAAAAAGGAAAATAACTGAAGAATAATGATTCTTCATCTTAACAATACGGTCCAGCAATTGAGTGAAATCAATAACGGAAGGCAGAGGACTCATCCGAGCCATCTGCTTGTATAAGCTCAGAGCATCATCGAGACTGTTTATATTAATAATATCATTCCTCAATTCCGATTGTAATTTCAGAGCTTTTCCAGAAGACGACCTAATTTTACTACTACTAGCAGAGTAAAAAGCTAATTGAGGTTTAGGGCTTGGGAATGCAGAGAGAAATAAAGCAAGAGCAGTACAACTAACTGTAGCAGCAGTACCTAACGAAGCAGCTGCTTCCTCGGACTGAGCAATGGAAGCAATCACCGCAGAAGAAGCTCTTCTCTTCATCATCATCATCATCGTCTTCTGGTCTGAAATGAATTAATCACTGGGATTTTTCGTGCAAAATCTGAAGCTGGGTTGTTGAATTGTATTTTCAGAGCTAACTTCAGGCAAATGCACTTTTTTCGCTTTTTCTCTGTTTCGACGTCGTCACAGTGTTAACCAATTTTTTTTTAAAATTTTTTTAAGGGATAATTTCAGAAACCTCCCTGAGGGTTTGCCTTAATATCACTAAATACCCTAATGGTTTTTTAAAAAAAATCCCTCTTACCTCCCCTTGATTGTCACCCCTTGTACGTTAAAAAATTCATGGCAGTGGAGAGATAACAATTTACTTCCATTTGTAACATTGTCACACCTTGTGTGAATTTTAGTTTTTCATTTTGGGGTTTTTAGTATGGTAATATCGATAATTTATCACACATTTTGTTTTATCAATCTAATATGATAGAGGAAATAAGAGAGATTTTTGAAATTATAGAAGTACTAAGGGATATTAAATCAAACCTTAGGAATGGTTTGTGAAATTATCCCTTATTTAATTGCTATCCTGTAAAGGCGAGAGGGATGCATGTAGTTATTGAACTCGATATTACTTAATTACAGTTGGTTACGATGATATTGTTGTTAGTAATATAAGAAATGCCACCCTATGTTCTTACTGATTTGGAAAAATTACTACTCCCTTCGTTCCTTATTAGATGTCCTAATCCATTGTTTCTTTTTATCTATCATTTTATGATATCAAGAAAGCATTTATGAACTTTTTTCCAAATTTACCCTTGCTTACCCTTTCAACTTTCTTGAATTGGAACTCTAAATAATTAAATGCAGTATTTGTAGCATTAACAATAAAAGTAGTTGAAGAGATGAAGAGAGATAAAGGGTAATTTTGAGAAGTAAAGTTAAACTTTTGTTGACTTTTAGAAAATAACCAACTTTTTTAATTTAAGAGAATTAGTTATTCAGGCCATCTAATAAGGAACGGAGGGAGTATGATTTACCATTTGATATTACAGTGCAAATGGCAATGAGAGTTTGTACCGTTAAGATGAAAAAATGAAATTATGGTGATGAATATTGTATTTAATTATTGCGTCGTAACTTTTCTACTTTTATTAGTTTTTTTTTATTTCAACTGTAATTTTGAGTTATATTGTAACGTTAATGATAATGATTTAAGATGAATGGTGAGGATTAATTAGAAGCAGCAAAACTTTCTTTTTACCTGTTACTCTAGAATAGATTTGGGTCAAAAGGCCTCGAAGCCAACGTTACAACAATTATCAGCTGCATTTTTCAAGATTCACGCGTAATTTTCTAAGAATATTATTGTTAAATTCAAAAACTATCTCAATTTTGCTGTTGTATGGGAGTTAATTCTCTCTTTTCGATTGCTGCATCTCGAATATGTGGCTACCAGCCACCACCTAACTTGGTGGGGTGGGAGGCAAGGGTTCAAACCTTGCCTTCCACTAAAAATGCCACATTTAAGTGGTTTGCTTCAAAAAAATTTAGGCAGATGTGTTGTGCATCCGTTTGGTCCGATGGTAGTTCAGTCTCCTCCGAGTTATTCCTGAGTCTTCTTAGATCCGTCCCCTCCCCCTTAATGTAGAATAGAGTAGACTATACAACGTCTCCGAAGAAAAAAAATCTATGTGGCTACCACGAAAAAATATTTTCATTTCCATTTTTTTTCATTTCAGACGGACTAAAAAATTTTTTTGTTTTTGCAACGAAATTGAGCTGTCCTCACATCCACCTTTTCATAACGAAATTGGAAGCTGCGACAGACGTGTCAACGACACAAATGAGATAGCAGCAGTTGCCTTGTACAAACGAAGAGAATTGTTTTTTTTTTTTTTTGTCGACACGATAGAATTTCTATAACCTAAGCTAGCCTATTCTAGGGGGAAGAGAATTGTATTGAAATGATAGAATAATGGTCTATCTGTTTCTTCTCACCGTGATTTCATTATTCTTTTTTTTTCGGAGACAACAACAATTGTATAATCTAATTTATGTTACATTAAGGGGAGGGAGCGGACCTAAGGAAGCCCAGGGATAATGCGGAAGGGACTGAACCACCACCGGACCAAACGGGTACATAACACACTCGTCTGAATTTTTTTGAAGCAAACCACTTAAATGTGACATTTTTTGTGGGAACCCAAAGGCTGGTGGTTTTCACTATTCTCATTATGGTGATTTCACCATTCTCATTGTAACTTCTTTTCTTGTAAAGATTGTTCCGTGTGAAATTATGCATAACAAAGATTAATATCTACCATTAATCTTAGCTGAGGCTAATTAATAGTAGAAAGCAACACGTACGTTTAATTTAGCATCTAAGAAATATCCACAAAATTATTCTTAGTAAAATAAGAAAACTTTAAGAAGTCATTCAAATGAATAATTGTTAGATTAGTGTACATTTTTTTGCAGAGAATCAATATTTGTGTATCAGATTTTAGTCATGATTTACCTAAAAAGAGAAGTACCCTTTTGTCTAATAATCAAAGTTGTTTCATTTCTGTGATAATGCTAATTATATAAATGAAATGTTACCAACCGATTCAAAAATGTTAGTAATTAAAATGAAAACTGAAACATTACCAACTAATTCCATTTAAAATTATTTACCATTCTTTACACTCTATCACCCATTATTTCTTGTGCTTAAAACCTCTTGCTCAAAGCAATGGTAAAATATTAAATAGTCACAGTTTTAAGATGGTCGAATATCAATGTCAAAATATACATGCTCTTGTGACAACTGAAAACATGCTATTAGAGTAGGATTAATCAAAGCTGAGCTAATTCGTATTTTGTACATTAAATAGTTAATCTAAACTTCTGAAATAATAACTTGAATGAAAAATAGAGACTTGAAAATTCTTGGCTTGCACAAAACGGAGACCGGGATTAATTTAGAAATGCTTTTATCAAGAAATTGATCCATGCTTGCAAATAAAGTACTTGTTTGAGATCGTGGTCTGGTCAAGATTCCTAGACCAAAAAAGTAAAATGAAGAACTTGGTGAATATCACTAGACCAAAAAGCATTAGTGATTAATGTGGCGACAATTTCGTGACAATAAAAAAATATATTTCACAGTCGTCACATGTGGCGACCGTGAAATTCTCTGAAAAATATCCTTTTAAAACAAGAAAAAGAAATGAAAAGTATACTTTGTTGTCGCAGTAATTTTTAAAATGCAGCGATTCTAAGTGGAGAAAACGGCTCTACACAATGCCAAAATTGAGATTTTTTTTAATTTAACAATATTTCTAAAAATTCGCCACTATATGGTTTCAGAATTGAGATGGTAATTTCAATGGATGCCTTTAGAGTTCATTGCAAATGCGTTACAATAATTACTTGTCATTAACATTGTAAAGTATTTGTTAGCAATGCACTTTTAGGGTTTAAAAAGGAAACACATACGTGTTTAGGGTGTAAAGAGGAAAAGATGGGGCAAAAGAGGATTCTTTATTTTGCCCAAACAAGAAGAATATGCAATGAACACAGCAACTCACAATTGTAGCCAACGAGGTGGATTAATCTTATAAAGCATGATTAGATTTATGGTAACATATTGGCATTCTTTTCTAGGAATTCTCGATAATCTTGAAACATTCAATACTTGAATCATGTAAAATATGATTGATTTCAGACTTACAAATGTTCTTTCTTTGGCATATTCGTTGAGTTTAAAGTATTCAAAATTGAAATCAACATTATATGTATATAGAACAGTAGACACTGAAAACCACCCAACTCAATGACTGAATAGTATACTTATGCACCAGACAGTTACAAGTTTATTATCAAGCTTAAGAAACAACTTCAATTGAAGCTTTTATTAACTTTTACTAGTAAGGGTTGATGTGCCCGCCTTGAATCGTTTAAGGTTAGCAAAATTTGATGGAATGTTTGTTAGTAGAGTATCATGTGTGAAAGTATATGTAAAGTATGTATATTACTGAAATGGAGAGAAATTGGATATCAGTACTTAAATTTGAACAAATGAACTTTGTCATTTTTTTGTCAATTTTCTTTTGAGTGATTAATACATTAATATTTAATTAAAACATGAGTCATTAATGCTAACTGAAATTACCACCAAGTATAGCATGCAAATTTGATGAGAAAAATATATATGTATTTATTAAATTTCATTAAGATGCTTTTTTTTTTCCTCTTTTAATGATAGCTTTCAAATATACATTTTTTTGTCATTGTCACTGGATTTATAATTGTCTACATTTTCATTTTACAAATTTAATTTAGTGTACAAATTAATAATATATTTATATACTTTTTTGTTTTAAAATTATATGTATAATTTGTACAGCAAATATACGCAGAGAAATTGAAAAATAGTAGCATTAATAATGGTTAGCATTTTTGCAGAAGTTTTTTGTGCTTGATAGAGGGACATCTATATATGAATTGGATTTGTAGTTTACAGTAAATTTGCTTTTCAAGGCAAAAGAGATTAAATTGAAGTACATTAACATAAATGAAAGACAAATACAAGATAACAGAATTAAAAACACATGTAGTTCAGTTATGAAGCACATAAGCATTATATTGTTGGAAACTAATTTTATGCATAATCATTGTGAAGGTTCATTTAAGTCTGCTGGCCAGTTGGGACTTTGTTCAACTTCATAGCTTGTGACAAAGGTAAAAGTTGTTCTTTTGATTGCTTTTTCTGTTGGAGTTGCTTTCTTTACAAAGCACATGAGTCTCTTTCCTTAGAATATATTAAGTGGCAATGTTAGTTCAACTGTATAACTTTAAATGACAATAAAAACATGAATAAACATAAAGTCAAATATTACTAAATATTTGAACATGAACAAATCAAAATAAAATTGACACAGAAAAATATACATTGCATTCAGCAAAAATAATAATCTTGTTCTTTATAATAGGATATGATAAATTTTAAATAATCTTTTATTTTACATTAACTTTAAATGATAACTTATTTTGACAAATATAATTTTAAATGATAAGGTTGAAAACTCGAATAGAAATAATTAAATCTGAAGTTAATTTGTCAAATATAAGTTGAAATGTTAATGTAAATAGTAATAAATATAAATTCTAATTG